TTATTATTATTATTATTATTATTATTATTATTATTGTTATTATTATTATATTATTATAATTATTATTATTATTTATTATAATTATTATTATTATTATTATTATTATTATTATTATTATTATTATTATTATTATTATTATTATTATTATTATTATTAATTATTATTAGTGTTTCATATTATCATTTCTCTTCGGATGTGAAGATTTTGCTTAATGTCGTTTTCCAGCACAAATTTGAATTTCGAACTATGTAGTTGTAACAATGTTCCTTGTACATGATATCAGTAGTATTTAGTCTTACTTCTGAACACTATCCGTAATATTTAAAGGGTAAATTCATTCGGATTCTAAAATGTTCTCATGCGTTCAACTAATTCGGTCTAAAATTTTTTAGAAAATGGCATGTTGGTTAAGGAGGAATCTACTGTTGATGCTAACGATCGTCTCTGTATTAATGGGTATTCTACTGGGTTTTATTGGACGACTATTCAATGTGACACTTCAATCTATAGTAATGGTCAGCTTTCCGGGAGAAATATTGATGCGTATGTTGAAACTAATGATTCTACCCCTTATTGTCAGCTCGCTCATTTCAGGTATCATCAATTTAATAGAAATAAAATAAATTTGAATATCCAATATATTGTGCATTTAACAAAAAAATATGACTTTCTGCTTAGATATTCATTATTTGCTAATCTGAATCTAAGATTCAATTCGAATTTAAATTTAAATGTCATATTTCATTCAACAAGGACTTTGATTTATTTTAAAATTATTTTGCAATATTTTTTTCTAATTCTAGATGATCTCCTGAAAATTTTAACTAATTTCTTTTCAATTTCAAATTTCTTAATATGACTGCTTAACACAGCACCTGAAGATATTATATATTTTTTAACTAAATTTGGAAGTTTTAGTAGATCTAATTATTAGCAGGACTAACTTAATGATGTTAAAATTTTTTGTGAACTATTATCTCGAGCATTTCATCACCAATATTTTGTCACAATTCTTTTTTCAAAAAAGATTTTAGGACTGTCTCAGTTAGATGCGAAACAGTCCGGTCGCTTGGGTTTCCTCGCAATATTTTATTATGTTGCTACAACTGTTATCGCTGTTGTCGTTAGTTTTTAAAATAAATAATCCGACAGCTACAATATTGCTACTAAACATATTTTGTTTTATATACATTTTAGCAAGAGGGAGAGGGAGAGAGGGAGAGAGAGAGAAAGAGAACTTTTGATCTGTGATGGATAAAATTCTGCGTGATATTCTGTGAATAATAGGTTGATTGTTTCAGACGGGCATATTCCTGGTATTAACAATACATCCCGGTGATCCAACAATCAAACATGATATTGGTGAAGGTACAGAAGCAAAAACAGTCAGTACCCTCGAAACATTCCTCGATTTATTGAGGTAAATTAAAGAACTCTTCTTTGAAAGAAAAGTTGGATCTGCAGATCAAGTTTGCGTTCTAATCGAGAAACCAGATAATTCTGGAAGTCGAGAATTGCTCTCCGAATATATAGAGAAGTCGAAGGAGTAGAAAAAGATAGGAAACGATGTGCGCTTTCACAGATGATCAAAGTTGAACTAAATTTGTAAATGTGTAGTTGGATAGTCAAGAAGAAGCTTATACAAATTAAGTTCGAATTTTTGCAAGTTCAAAGCAAAAATATTAATTTCATCTTGAGGAAAACTGAATAGTTTCAACAATAATAATTTTGGATGTATTTTTTGAGACATTAGCGAAAAAATTCAGTTAAAAAAGCAGAGCAAAAAAGAAACTAGCGGGCTAATGCCAAGCTTTCCTTTATTCTTTAAATAGTTTAATTTATTCCAGGAATACATTTCCGGAAAATATTGTACAAGCAACATTCCAACAAGTACAAACCAAATATATCCCGGTGAAACCAAAATTATTAAAAGAACAGTTCTGAAATCCTACAGGCATTCGCAAACGGTTCTCTTACTATTATGAAACCATCGGTTGAATATACCGCCGGCATGAATGTTCTTGGTAAGCACTTTTCATCGTAGATAGCTGAATTTAATTTTAACTGGTGAGGAACTTTTGGAGACATTGGTATAACCAAGCATTATCATGCATATCGTCTTCGTTGCAGGTGTAATAGTATTTTGCATTTCCTTTGGGATAGTACTAAGTCAAATGGGTGAACAGGCTCAAACTATGGTTGATTTCTTCTCTATAATGGATCAAGTGATTATGAAACTTGTCATGCTTATCATGTGGTACGCATTGCATTTTATTCTTATGCAAATTAAAAGAAGCGTGAGATTATTCAAGCTAATGTACTTCTGGGGTTGTCATCTCATCAATATGTTACAGAATCTTTATTAAATCTCAGTAATCTGACTATATAACTATTATCAGTTGATTCGAATACGGTTAAGTAATCATAAAGTTTAAAAATGTTCTAATTAAGGTATTCACCAATTGGAATAATGTGTTTGATAACGGGGAAAATTCTGGAAATTGATGATCTCGCGAATATGGCTCGAATGCTGGCAATGTATGTGGTGACGGTACTGCTAGGACTTATCATTCATGCACTAATCAGCTTACCAGTGTTGTTCTTTATCTGTACCAAGAAGAATCCATTCACTTATATGCGCGGTTTGTTACAAGCATGGGTTACCGCCCTTGGAACTGCTTCAAGGTTTCATACTTCATTTGTTCCTTCTTTTATGGATTGCACTGTAGAAGTTTGTAAATTGTACGAAAATAATGAGAATATTAAAATTTTTGTTTCTGCTCAATACTTTCACTTTAGTTCGGCAACTCTTCCTATTACATTCAAATGTTTGGAAGAGAATTTGGGAATCGATCGACGAGTCACCAGATTTGTACTACCCGTTGGAGCGACCATCAATATGGTCCTTTTTTTTTTCTTACAGATTTTTTACTTCTCACAAGTAATGTGCTTTGATTTTGTTAACTTCTGATGATTAAAGTTGTTTTGTAGGATGGTACAGCACTGTACGAAGCAGTAGCAGCTATTTTCATTGCCCAAACAAATGGAGTTGATCTGTCCTTTGGTCAAGTTGTTACCATTAGGTTCTGATTTGTTATCGTATGCGATCTCTTTTTTAAGAGTTCTGAAGTCTTCTGGAACATATTGCATGTATTAATCCGACTGTCACCAGTTTCAATTCAAATTCAAGTTAAGATTTGAAATTGTTAAATTTTTCAGTTTGACAGCAACATTGGCATCGATAGGCGCAGCATCAGTACCATCAGCTGGCCTGGTTACAATGTTAATTGTTTTAACAGCGGTTGGTTTACCTGTAAAGGATGTCTCCTTGATTGTGGCCGTAGATTGGCTTTTGTAAGTTTCGTAATTTTCAAATTTCGCTTCTTTCTTCATAATAAATCAGGGATGGTTTTATATTTTGAACTAAAGTTTTGCTTTGCTTTTGTAAAAAAAATGCAAACTTTCGTCAAATGAAAATATAATTTCAAAATGAATGAAAACTTTTTACCTATATGACACTTTTCCCATAAAAGACTTTAAGCTATCCAAATTAGATTTTCGATTTTAACAGTATATACTTCAACCGAGCTCCAAAATGTATTTAATATTTAAAAATGATGCTATTTGTGAATGAAGTAGCCTCATATGACTGCAGACTTTTTCTTACTCTTATATTTTGTTTTTTTTTCTGCAGAGACCGCATCCGGACATCAATTAATGTACTAGGTGATGCATTTGGAGCTGGAATTGTCCATCATTTCAGTCGGAAACAATTAGCGATAATTGATGCCGAACGCCGATTGTCGCACCAAACACATGATGAACACGGTAATTGCTGTTAAATGTCGCCGTTAAATTTTTATCATTTTGAATAAATTATTTCCTGATTCTGAAATGAATTTTTCAAGTCTTTCGTTTTTCAGGACAATTGTTGGCAAGTTCAAAACATGGGAATGGTCCAGCATGGACAAAAGATCCGCATGGCTACAGATCAGTACCAACAGAATAGTAGAAATGAAACAGTTGAAAATAAGTACGATTTTAAAAAGGTTTCAAGAATTTTCTCTAATGTATTTATTTTCTAGACGGGATATCTTCGATTTGTATATTTATGTCTACTGTCCTTTATGGATCAATGTTGTAAATAATTTATGATGTATTTCTGCCCTTCCTCTATTTTCTACATAGCAATAATTTTATCCTATTTTTACCATAATATTGATTCCTAAATTTTTTTATAATTGTTTTTGAATGCATTTATTGGATTTGTCAGTTTGCAGTACTTTTCCTTCATCTTCTGACCAGTATTTCTATTTCTAATTAAACTTTCTTTTAATTAAGCTTTTAGGGTGAAAAACTTCTTGTATTCTTCATAAGCATGTAAGAAGTTGTTCCTTTTTATTTATATTTAGATTTAGATTGTAATTGTGATTGGTTTTTCGCTTAAATTTACGCCTAAATATGAATTGTACTGATCAGCAGTTATGACTTTCGCTATTGCAAGGTATGTGATTTCGTTGAACGAATCATGTCAACTGTGTGTTACCTTAATTCTCATTAAATTTTATTTATACTCAGATTTAGATTGTAATCATTTGTCATCGATGTATTATGTTTATTGCGTCATAACATCATAACCTTTCTTGACCTATCATTGCTTTTTGTTACATTGCATTAGATAAGCAAGAAAGGTGTAAATACAAGATTCCCGTTCAAGCAGATTGCTTTTGAAGAACGAATTAAAGTTTTGCAGAAGTTATTGCATTCATCGAAATGATGCAACTTGTTGTTATGAAGATGGTTGTAATTTTTATCTTAAAACTATTTTTTCTGTGATTTATCCTTGCTTATAAAAGGCAAACATTTTCGTAGCTTCTTTTTTCTTAGCAAAAATAGTGATCAAGCGAATGTTATAATATTGAAACACATGATGGCTTTTAAACTTGGCTAAATTATGCAGATGAGTCAGTAATTTAAATTAAATTATCCTACGATAAAATAAACACATAACTCTTAAAGTGTACAAAAACTTCTTAAGGATTGGGCAAATTTATTCGCAGAAACTTCTTTCTTGAAAAACAAGGAACGAACAATTATAAATAAAAAACTGTTAAATTTAAACTATAAAATGGAAAGCCATAAATAAGTGGCTATAATAAAGTAAGTGATAAATAATGTACAGTTCGATACAGTTGTCCGAAATCTCGGGACAGAAACAAATCAATTCAAGTTCCTTATTCTTCTTTTTTTACCTCTGAAAAATCCATTAAATAATTTTAAATCTATCCCCACACTTAAAATAACACATCAATAGTTAATTTAGCAGAAATTTTTGAAAATAAATACATGATTGAATAAATTCATCTGAAGTCTGAAGACAGTGTAGCATACTTCCGGAAACATGTATAATAAATTTTTGTTTAATTCCTGAAACTTTTTTCAGGTTTCAATATCCTGGCGGTAATCGGGGAGCTGCAAAAGTCATGATGTTAGAATTTCGAGTAGGAAAACAACTTATGCTAACTTTTTTCAAATTTCTAAAACTATTAATGAAATGTATTCAATTATTTCATTTCTGGAATTTTGAGGCTGTTCATATAAAAATAAAAAAAAGTATTTGCATTTAAAATCAAAAATAAAAAATTATTTACCTGGACAGTGATCACAACTGCCTCGTTGGCCATCTTCACCTGGAGGACCCGAAATTCCGCGTAAGCCTTGCTTGCCTTCCACTCCATTCCTGCCATCATTACCTGGTTCACCAGGTGGACCTGGGTAAGAGATGCCATCTACACCAGGTGCACCCTTTGGACCCAGATCACCGAAATCTCCTTTCGGCCCGTCGGGGCCAATAGGTCCTGGTATATGGATTAATCGCCCTGGTATACCCCGCGTACCTGGTTTCCCGGACTGTCCTGGTCGACCTTTAAGTCCCGCTTGTCCAGCTAATCCCTGAAGCGAAATTATAATTTTTTCACATCTTTACTAACTGCATAACGAAAAGACTACAGCAGAAATTTAAAATTTAACTGATAAATAATTAGGAACAATATGGAATGTGTATTTCACAAGATTATATAGCTAACCTCTTCACCCTTTTCGCCATCATCCCCGTGATTGCCAGGTGCTCCTTTAGGACCTGGAGGTCCTTTAGGGCCTATAGGACCCGGGTGTCCCGGAGGACCTGCTGGACAAACCATGCACAGTTCTTGTTCCTCTATATTCTCATTTGTTAAAGACGAAAAAATTTTCGAATTTTTTCCCGGTTTCCCATTTCTTCCTGGGTATCCATCCATTCCTTTTTTCCCCTCCTCACCTTCAGGACCGGGAGGTCCTGAAGCACCCTATAACTATGACTTCAAATACACAAATACGCAATGTGTTTAGAAATTAGCATAAACCAATCATATAGAATTTTTAGGTGAAATTTTAAATGTATTGTTTGTAAAGGATATATTATATATTTCTAATGTGAGAAAATGCATTTCAGCAAATAGTGTAATTAATGAATGAAATATCTTTGGAAGGTTCAATATCACTTCTGCTTGCATTTACCAATTATTAAGTTGATAAATAGATAAATAAAGAAATGAAAGAATTCAAGAATTATTTCTTCCATCTTTTTGCTTTCAGAATCTCAAGCTGGAAATTCAGATGCATTTTGCATATTGCATCTTACTGGTTGATTAAACATTTAAAAAGAGATGGAAAGATTATGAATAAATCCATTTTCAATTGTTTTATCCATTTTTTCATTTATTAGAAGAATTGGAACTTCGTGATTTACCGTATGACATGTACAGCATTGTTCATAGTAATTGCCATTTAATACCGGATCGATTGGTACTGAGCCATAGCTACTGCTGCTATCACCACTGAAACTATCACTACTACCAGTATCTTCGTAAAAACTAGCCGACATCCATTTACCGAATGACCATTCCCTTTTTATTCGACTGAAAAACTTTCTGCCAATCTGTAGTGCCGTAATTTCGGACCACATATCCCTTGATCGAGACTGGAAATGTGTTATGTACATCGCTAATGTCATAATATGAATGAAAGGTTAAAGTTCCTTTTCAGTATTAATTTCTCTAGCTTAATTTCAAAATTGTCTTAAATCACTTAATAAACCTCTACAACGAGCACCTGCCTGTGCTTTCGCAAACTTTTAAATTTTTGTCTCTAATATTGTTAAATTGTTCATTCAGGTAGAAATGTTTTCCAATGCATCCAATGTCCTGCTTTCTCTGCATTACTCATTATGTTTTCTAATATGAATGAGAAAATTGATTTGCTATTGATGATAAAATTTCTACCTTGCAAAAATGAGTCTCATGTAACAAATGATTTTCTAATGTCTGAATGAAACCGTAGAGCATCGGCAAAGTAATGACTGCTGAGGTAACGGCAGTAGTTGAAACAACGATTGCAAGGAATGCAATCCGTCGCATTTGACGATATTCATCCTGCTCCATCTTCCAGTCCATTCGATGAAAACCAATTTGACACAAAGCTTACTTAGACTTTGGTTTTGTTTCTGAACCCCTAATAAATTAATAATTTCATTAACGATTCATAAGCTTAATAAATTTACAACTAAAAGTGTTGAGATCGAGAAATATCAATATCTTCCACAAAATTATTAGAAATTAATGAGACGAAAATTTTTCAAAATCAAAAATTAGTAAAAGACATCTGCTAATATACCATTAGACTAGATTTTTTTTTTAAATATTTAGCGTATGCTAAATGGAGAAGCAATCGTTTAAATGGAATTAAAATGGAATGAAAAGGACAAAATGCTTTCTGAAATTTTTGCGAAAGCAACCACTGAGAAAAACGAATGGTATGTGAGGAGACAACAGTGGAAAACAGCAATGGTGCGGGGCACAAGTAGGAGAACATAAGGGTCAAACGATACGTTCAGGTCAACAGTTATCTTTTGTTTTTTATTTCGTGTTCCTTTTTTTTTTTCCTTAATTAGAATTTAAATTATGTCACACAGGTCTCAAATTCACATCTCATTGCATTAGACTGACTGATTCACCAATGTGCGCTCATCTCATTTTTACAGCGAGCAAGATGAATTGCAAGACAGACCTACCTACTTTGATACTCTTTAAGGTGATCAATATGATCAATTTGATCAAATACAGGTGATCAATATGTTTTCATGATACTGTGCATGCCAATAAACTTTATGAAGACATTGACTTGTGAGAAGAGCTCCATATCTTCAATTGAATCCGAATAATGAATTGGAAATACTTTGATTTTGGCTATTAAAACAGTAAAAGCTACCGATACCTGTTGTTACGATAAAGATATTTTTGTCATGCACAATTAAATATCCTACCTGCTTCAGAAGTTTTCATCTAATAACAGTTTCCATAAGACTCAGTATTGTTTGTCAAAGTACAAGTAGGGAGGCAAAACATAAAAAACCTTCCAACAAAATTAATCTTTGTTTTTTTTCGAAAACTTGAATAAAATCTGTAAGTGGCTCTCTAAACGTTTTGCAAATCCAAAATTGTATTGATGTCGAATTATTTCGGAAAATTTTTTGAAATGAGCAGCAAATTGTTGTCTTTGATTGCATTGTAACCAGTACACTGTCGCCAAATAATTTCATGACAGTGTCTGTCTGTGTTAAAAATCTCTCGGATCAATGACAAATGTTCGTTCCGAATTAAAAGAAGATTCCGTCTGCCAGCTTTACAAGAAGCAGATATTTCTTGAATAGCTAATTTTAATGGTATTTAATAAAATTACTTGGTCACATCAAATATTTAGAATAAAAAAAGGTAAAATAAAGAATAGCATTTAAGGAAGAAACACAAATACCATATACAATCAAAGATCAGCATAAGGCTACTTATTTTTACACTCAAGACATCTGAAAGTATATTCTCTATTACTGTTCAATGTAAGGTCAACTTACTTGAACTGTATTGCAAAGTTTTTTTCTTTTCACTGCACCTGAAATTGCTCTCAGAAAATCATAACAAAAAACAAAAAATGTTATCAAGAACAAAAAATCATTATTGAATAGCTGATTTTAGCAAATAGATTAGATGAAATAATTCCCAAATAATATCCTGAAATTCTTTCAACACTCCAATGATATTGATTTGCTCTTCTATTATGTCATCTCCTTATGCTAATATCCATAGATTTAGTGGCTCAAGTTAAGGTGATAATTGACAATTTCACTCTCCATTTTATTCAATCCAAACTTTCAAATTCGTATAATCTAGTTTCACTTCGTTGCATTTGGATTTTATGGAAAATTAATGTATCTTGCAGAAAGGCTCCTTGGAATTCCCAATATATCCATCGGGAGAGCGATAAAAATCTTGTTTCAAATACTATACGGAGGGGTGGGTGCCTTCGATACAATACAATATGACAGAAGGGTAATATAAACCAAGTGGAAAAAATGAAGTCTGTAACAGAATAAAATGTCCGCTGAGGGGGGTAGCAACAGTATCAAATAGTTACCCCAACAAACACAATGGACAGCAGCATTTTATCATCAAAGAGGTATAAAGGACGGAAGGTGCTATTAATGTCTCCTTTCACTAATTCTAATATCTTGATATTATTCTGATCTGACCTCAATTAATGAATACTTTTTTCGATTCCATACGTTCATGCTTAAATATCTAAATATGTATGAATGTTGTAATTTAAATTTTCACTTATTTTTAGATAAATGTCAAAAATGAATAAATTAGCTTCATAAACCTTTTAATCTCATTAATTTCATCATCATCATCCAGTCTTAACTTTTGGCTGCTTTCTATCACTTTCACCTTCCTAGATTTATGCTTATGTATTTAGATTTGCGGTTTGTTATTAAATTAATCAATATTGGGATGTCATCCATGACTGCTTAAATTTGAAAAATGAATTCTGAATCGAGGCTAAAAGAGTTTATTTTTAAATTATTATCATTTTATTTTCAGGTTCAACTTAATTATGTCAATATCGATAGGGTGTGGGGAAAAAGATTTGGAACAGCGACATTTGCGTCGACTGGCAGTTCTTGCAGTTGCATTCTCAACAGTAGCGCTTATCGCTGCAGTAATCACTCTACCAGCACTTCACTCTTATGTGCAGTCACTTCATAGTCATATTATTGTTGAAACAGAGTACTGCAAGGTATGAAATTTTTTGAATTTTACAATAACCTTTCAAAAATGAATTCTCTGCTCACCCGCAGATGCATGCATTGAGAGTACGTATATGAATAAGGGAGTTAAAGGTACTTAAACATTCAAAGTAACCCTCAGTTTCTTTGCTGTAAAATTTCAAGAAGAAACAAGGACATTTTACATGCGTGTAAATGTATTCATCATTGCGTATTTTATGAAAGATTATGTTTGAATTGCGTACTATTCTGTTGATGAGTAATCACTTCTAGTCTTTCAGATCCTTTATTTTCTCGATTTTCAATCGATGGTTCCTTTGAACTGTAACATATAAGCTAATAAATTAATTTTATACACTTCCTCGTAAAACAGTGCAAAAACAGAAATCCTGAGTGACTTACATAGATTTACAGTCATTTAGATTTACAGTGACTTACATAGATTTACAGTAGATAGATTTACAGTCACGTTCGCGCGATATGCTTGCCGAAATGTCTGGATTACAATTGGCCAATGTCCGACGTTTAAAACGCGAATGGAGGTTTGGTCATTGGATGCCAACCACTGAAAATAACAATCAAGAATATGAACATGCTACTGCTGCTGTGATCAATCCAGATTTGAATGTCTGCTGCACTTGCAACCAGGTTAAGTTAAATTCCATATTGAATTACAAAATTATGCCTAAATCACAAAACTTCATGGCAGAAAAGAAGATAAAATAATGAAGGCTTAAAGTGAAACATATTCTCTAATATTTTTGTAATTTAGGGGCCAGCAGGACCTGTTGGACCTGAGGGGGATCCTGGCAATGACGGTAAAGATGGAATCAGCGGAAAAGACGGAAAAAATGGCGGTGACGCTCACTTGAAACCAGTAATGCATGTCGATCTTTGTCTTATTTGTCCCCCGGGACGTCCTGGTGTACCTGGTAATATGGGGCCCAAAGGTCCACCAGGACCAAAAGGTGCACCAGGAGATCCACCTAAAGATGGAGTACATGGTGAAACGGTATGCATATCAAAGAATTTCAATCACTCCCTTTTTCATTAAATAATGCTTCATGAGAGCAGTTACTATCAATCTATAGAACATTATAAGAGGAGCATATGAAACTGTATGGGCAAATTGTGCTGTTGTCCACGAAATCTTATAACGGTTAAAAGATTTCAAACTTTCTTCTCGCGTTCTTTAGGGCACACCAGGACAACCTGGAGCAATCGGAAGACCTGGAAGGACTGGACCGCCCGGAACTCGAGGCGCGCCTGGTCGTATCATTTACATGACTGGATCACAAGGACCGCCTGGTCCTCAAGGTCCACAAGGACCAGCTGGTCCGAAAGGTATTCCTGGACCAGATGGACAATCCTTCCCAGGACCTCCTGGACTGCCCGGAGAGACAGGGCAGCCAGGATCAGAAGGAAGACCCGGGAAAGTAGGTCAACGCGGTGTCCCGGGTGAACTTGGAGAACGCGGCACGTGCAAACACTGTCCGAGTAAGTTTCTCCTCACTTTGTTTGCTTTAGCGTTTCGAGTATTTTCAACTCACTGGAAGTTTGTACTTTCATAACTGTTTCACTTTTTTGGCTCTAGTGAAATTGAAAGCTCATCTAGCTGTAATATCCGAATCACTCTACAATGCACTTTTAGCTCCAAGGATGCCTTCTGGATTTTAAGCATGTGCAGCCGTGCTGTTGTTGAAAAAACCATTATTACTTGGAACGCTCCAGTACTGCCTCTTCTGTAAATATTGTTGGTCTCCTATGTTATTTGCATCATTATTGTTCAAATAAATTGTTTAATTAAAAACTGCAATTCAAGGAAATCACAGCGTCTTTTGAAACAAAAAATGGCATACGAGACCAATATATGAGCAAATTTGTAACTCTTATCAGTAATTCTAGACGCCTGACGACACCCAAATTAAAACTAGTAAATTCGATCCCCCTCTCCGTCCCACCACCCCCTCTCCCTCCCCCCTCCCCCCCCAGAAATCCAACTTGAGGGATTAGTTAAAACAAATGTTTACATGACTAACACTAATAAGCAATAAAATAATCATGAATAATAATAACTGCCTGAAGTTGGGTACTATTATATTTCCTGATCTCCAAAATTCAAAATATAATAGCTGCTGCATTCATTTTGTAAATGTTTTTCCATGTGTCTGTCAAAATCTTCGTCCTTATAATTCTGTAGAACACCTATTTTTTTTACTGCTTATTTTATCTAATATTTCCAATCTTACATTCAATTTCACAGAATATCATATAATATCGCAGGAGAAATCACGAATTTTACGAAACCGAAATTAAGAGTTATTTTACTTAAAAACATAAAAAGGAGTGAAAATTCCTATATATCTAGGAATTTCTACTTCTTTTTATGTTTTTAAGTAGAATACATGATCTTGAAACTGTGAATAAAAGTCTCGAAAACTGCCAGCTGACACATGATTATAAAAACAGTAATGAAGCTAAGCAAAGTTGAAAGATTTGGGCGATATGAAATCTTTAAATAATATTTGCCCGGAAAAATAGAAGCAAATGCGGAAATTATTTACAATTTCGACAATGTCTTCATTTTTTATCATCAAGAAAATACGGAATGCCAAAGCAGAAACAGGCCTTCTCCAGCATTTCAGTTCATTGTAAATGTAGTAAAATGTAAAACGAAATCTTAAAATCCATCAAACAAAACCGGTCGGATTTCTGATAAGTAATAAGTTAAATGTAATATATGCAATATATAAGATAAATGTAATACATGACGATTTTTGCATCTCATGATCATAAAACTTATGGCATCTGTTTATTTTCTAACAAAAGTACAAAATATCTATCTGTTCTCAACTAACATATCTACCTGTTCTCAGCTAACATTGGTCCAGCGCCCACACAACTAAGAAAAATATCCTTGATAGCACCTTCCATCGGTTCGATTTCGCTGTTCTCTCCGCCTTGTACAGATTCGAGCAACACCAGATTTTTCTGTTCTTCCTCCATCAAATTTTTCAAATTTTTATATTCAAATGCAGCAGGACACTTTGTTATCTGCTCTGTAAAATGTTTTTATTAGGAAAAAAGTTGCTCACCAATATAACCAAACTAGAACAGTTGTAGCATTTTAATAAAAATCGATAAACGACCTTTTGGGAAGACTCTTTTGACCTTTTGTTCAAAAGATTTATCATTTAGCATAAGAAGAAATTTGTCGTACAACAAAATGATCTCATGCATCAAATAATTTAAAGACATGTAACAGAATTAATTCATTCTCAGTAGCATCATAATCTGCTTAATGACTCAAGTTCGAGACATTTCTCGCTCCATCAATCTGAGATTTCCATAATATCAAACTTGACCTATACTTCATCTCTCTTATGATTTCTGGCTCAATTTCTATTAAAGTGTCATGAGACCTAATGCTCCATGCGCCGGTGAGAACAAAAGCATTCTAATGCATTTTATCGTAAGCTATAGTGTATTGGGAAATGAAATGAGATTCAACATCCTTTGATAAGAAATCGGATTGTTTTTTGAAATTAAAAATTAGATTTGAGGAAAAGGAAGCTTTTTTTGCTGTTAACTATATATATATATATATATATATATATATATATATATATATATATATATATATATATATATATATATATATATATA